GACAAGCGAAGCATTTCTTGCTGGATTCTTGACCAAAAGTGTGGGAGACACAGAATATCAATGGCGCTTTCGTGAGAAGGGGAGGAATGTTTCCCACCAAAACAACGAATTATTCTGTAGGCGTGGGATAGGAATCCTTTTTTGGCCATTTTACATTTCTTTTTAGTGAATTTGCCTTTAAATATGCTTACATCTTTGAGATCGTACAATATTTGCTCATCAACTAGCTTACCACGCCAGTAAAAACTTCCATTATATATATTGTGATCGACAATAACCCCAAAAGAGCTTTGCTATAATCATCGAACGATGAAGAGGGCTGTTGAAAACATAACTAAGTTGGGAACTAGAAGCAAAGGAGAAGTCTTTAAAAACTTGTCTCATCAATGAAAGTGAGTTATAACGAAACAACCACCTTTGAGCAGTCCTCCGAGTTTTGAACAGGCTGGAATTAAAGGAGTTAAGAAAGACAAAATATGTAGAATATTTCGCAAATTAGGATCTGTCAAGAAATCTTTAAAACATCAAACTTGGGTCAAGAAATAAATGAAAATTGACTTTTCTAAAGTAATTTTCATGGACAAATCGTGGGTCACACTCGATGGACCTGATGGATGAATCAAAAGATGGATTTTATCCGATGCATATGTGCCTGTGGAAGCAAGGATACGGCAGCGTGACTGGAATTGTCGACCAAACCATTATTGGACCATTCAAAGTTAAACTAAACAGTGATAACTATTGAGATTTCATTGACAAGACATTCTTTGAATGATACAATTTACAGCCTTGCCGTTTCAACGTGAATTGGGTATTTATGCATAAAAATGCTGCTTATGTATCTAAGATGACCAGTGGATTGTATGAGCGTAAATGTTTTACAACAGATAATGAAATGGTCACCATCAAGTCCTAATCTGAATCAGATCGAAAATCTCTGGTCACTTGTGAAGGTGGAATTATATGAAGGTGGCAGAAGTGTTGATTAATTGGTGGTTGTATTACTTTGTTATTGGAATAAATATTGTTTTTTTTTTGTTTTTGCATAATAACTTAAGACTGCAGTGTTTATAATACATTCAATAACTTTAATAAAAAACTACCTAAATATTTAATTCAAATATTGTTTTGATGTTTGATTTAATCGATTAAAGTCTGACAACATTTCTTCAAAACAAATTCGAGTTATTGATGCTTATGTGATTTGAATAACTTCAGATGAATTGTAGAAATCTGTACAACTATTCTCTGCTATTCATAAATAATTTATAAAACTATGAAAAATCTGTAATTCAGTGCAAGCAAAATTTTTATTTTTGTAAAATCTACAAAACCTTAATTATGTAACTCTGGCTCATGTTTTCTTTGTATTCCAAATGAGGGAATCACATTTTTAACCTATTAAAAATAGTTTACCTATCTTATTATAATAATGTTATTTATCAATTATGCATTCTGTAGATTCACACACATACACAATCTTTAAGTAATTATACTCGAAAACTCACACACGCATGTTGACCTAAAAGGATGTTGAGTGTATTATCCTAACAGTTTGATAGTATAAACTAGCCTGAATGCCTGTCCCAGTTTCATTCAATAACACAATAAGATTTAAGAAATTTTTAGATTTGGATTTAGAAATAACAAAGGAATACTCCAAAAATACTTTGAATATTGCTGCCACATCTGGTCTGGTGATCCTTCTATATATTTAGACATTCTTGATAATACCCAAATAAAAATCTGCAACGTTATTGGTGCTGACTTCACATCTGGCCTTTCAGTGAGTTTCCCCGCGGCGGTAAAGTAGCTTCCCTATCCTTTTTCTACAAATATTTTAAGCTAATTGTTTTGATGAACATTCCTCTATGGTATCTAAATATTACGAATTTAAGCCAAATACTATATTGGTGGGAAGGTCTCATCATTTTATAGTTGAAATGGCTAGATGTAACCGTAAGTTCTATGCTGATAGTTTCTTCTCTAATACTTTATGGTCTTATAACACTCTTCCGGCTTCTTGCTTCACAGTCAAATTTGATCTTCGTAAATTTAAATGCAATGCCAATCGTTATCTTGTCTTAATGCTTGTTCATTTATAGTTTTCTCTCTTTTAGTGTGTTTTATCTCATTCTCTCACACTCAGCCACTTAGTGTCTTTATTGCTTTGCTTGGGGTGGAATGGGTAAACAAAATGTGATCGTATTCAAAAAAGATTGTTACTCTTAGATAAATTGAAAATAGGAGATTCTTTTAAATGCAAATGGCAAAGTATACGAAATAGATGAATGATACAAACACGTAAATATTCTAGTCATTATTTCTGAGATTAGTGAAAAATATGATACATGAATCCTTCAATAATTCTTATTTCAACGAAAGCGTAGCAGTTGGTAGAATTGCTACTCGGATAACAACGCCTTAGACCAGTACACCAGTGCTACTGACTTGAGAAATTAAACCATCTTGGAAAATACACGCCAACTTTATCAACTACAAGAAGTCAAATGTCACAATCTCATTCTGTAAATTTCTCAGATACAAAAACTTAAAAAACTATTTAACAAAAATGATACGAACGAAATATTTGTTTAATAACAAATTGTCTGCTTGTAAAGTTTAGAATATGTGATAAAAAAAAGAAACTATTTTGTTAGAATGAAGGGAGTGTAGTTCTAATCTTTTTTTTATAATTTCACCCTAGCAAGGCGAGAATGCCACTAATACGCAGTGGATTACAGAGAGCAAAAGTGAGAAAAAAATCTAGGTATAGGGAGGATTAAGGAAAGGATAAAAGATGAATGAGATTCAAGACGACAGAAGATGGCGATTGACGTTGCATTTAAATTTTTGAAATTGTAATTTTCAGTGAAGCAAATAAACGGAAGTGAATTCCACTATTAGGTAGTGCAAGAAAAAAAATGGTCGAACAGAAGTGACGGTTGCATTTAACTATTTCAACAGTAAAAGGGTGGGATCTAGTGGCCAATCAATTAGCATTCTTAAATTTATGTAGTCGAGGTACCAGTAAAAGAAGCTCGTCAGAGCAGTTGCCATGAAAATATTTCTAGAAAAGACAGAGGGAAGCCATATCACGTTGGTGAGAAAATGACTGAAGTCATAAGGCCATGTTAGGATCGATTACATTGTAGATTTTGTCATGAACTTCGAGATGAATAGCAGGAAAACCAGACCAGATATGCCAACAGTATGGCCAATGGTAGATTTATATATATATATGTGTAAGATGGACTCTGACGAGAAAAACCTTGTCACGACACAATGAACAAATTTTCCTTGCAGTCAATATTCAAAACAACATTGGTATGAAACGTGTCACGCGCGCGAAACTGGACCATTAAGAGGACCTAGATCTGTAAAGTGTCAGATAAGCGAAATTTGGGTTAAACAGTGACAGCAGCTCTAATAGCATATGAGTGTAGATAGGAACAACTAACACAGACCGACACTTCACCTTACCTATTAAAAATTAACTAGACGGGATTGTAACTAAAAATAAGCAATTAAAAATATTACACTGATCATAATAATCATCCTGTGGTTACACCATGACATAATTTTAGAGTCGGGATGCATGACATTTTTTTAAGTTAAAAAGAAACAAACATTTCATTCGCAATTAAATCAGGCACGTTTCTTTCTAGTAAACTTTGCGATGAAAACTGACCGATTCATCCAATGTTCGACAACTACAATTCATAGAATGATACTGAGTGAAATCATTTATCCGATTAGATTAATATATAAGAAATTTCAAAACTTTTATAAAAGTTACAAAACCTAAATACACTTTGAATAATCATAAATATATTGAAATTAACTGTCAGAAAGAAAGAGAAGGTGGAATTCCTCTAAAAAAATGAAGGTTTATCTTCTGCGGGTGTTCTAAACGGTAAAAGAACGATTTTAGGCTTTATCCAAAATGTCAATGGGTCGAGCCTCATAGCCAAAATCTTTTTTTTTTCATTCTAGAAAAGATTGCATCGCTTCTGATTTGCCTAATATAAGTAAAAAGCATCGCTACAGAACACGAAAGATCACTGTTCGACCCAAAGCAATTGACTCGTATTCTCCACAACCAAAACCAATGTATTCTTTCTGTATTCAGTTGTGAAGCGTGTAGATAAAAAAAGAAAGTGTTCCGGTCTATTATTCCTCTCTTGACAGAAAGAACATAAAAAAACTGAATGATGATAATATCTCTGCTTTCCACTGAAAAAAAGGTGTAGTGCACATTTGCGCTTAATCGAGTAAAGGGTTATCTTTCAATTCTTAAAAGCATTCTGTAAAGTCATTGTCATTATACAATATAATACCCCAAGTTACATGTCTGTAAAATTTTCTGTTGGACTCACCTCCTTTACATTGGTAACGCCATTGCAAGGGAGATAACTCAGAACTGTTTCAAGATTTTAAGATGATTCCGTGAAATAAGAAAATAGAATAAAAACAAGTACTTCGTATATATAGTCATTTCTGACAACATCGATAAACGTGTATAATGATGAATATTTTTTTCTGTTCGTAACAATAAATGCGACCAAGTACTTACTAGTGAGACCAGGTTGCTAATAAGTCAATAATGAGGAAATCTGTTCGAATACTCAGAGCCAATCGAAGTGAGTAATCGTTGTGTTTCCATAACATGTAAGTGTGTTATTAATGTTTCTTTCCTAAAAAAAATGTAGTGGAAATTCATATACATTTGTATGTGCTTTGATTGATTCGTTTTCTACGGCTTATCAACCCTTTGCAAATTATTTAAAGCCATAAAATATAGATTGTAAGAATTTGAGGGGAGAGATAATGTATTAAAGTCTTATTAATTAACCCATAGCCGGAGGGAGAAGGGGTGGATTCATACCTTTTCCAAGGGTAGTTGTACGTTAGCAAATAGAACGAATCCAACAGGAATAGGAACTGAGTTCGATTAATTATTCCAAGCCATTATCCATTACACCACCCACACATCCAAGCTTACAGCACCTTGTATTCCCAAACGTGCCCCCATTTAGATACTGAGCAGGTCTAACGGTGCTTAACTTCGGTGATCGTATGAGAACCGATGTTTCAACGTGCTGCGGCCGTAAGCGATTTGTATGTTTTTTCTCATCGCTAATAACGAAATTATTTTCATAATGCATTAAAACTGCTTAGAGAAATCAAAATGATGGCTGAAACACAAAACCAATCTTCCCTTTGATCGTCTACCTCCAGGAGTAGCGTCATCACCATTCATTGGGTTGCCATCGAGAAGTTTATGAATCGGGAAGTTTATGAATATCATAATTTACAAAAACAGATTCAATTTTATTGAACTAAAATCACTTCATTGATGGTTTTATCAGAACAAACGACATGTGCATTTGTTTATTTAATCTTGAAGCGTCTATCAAACAAAAAAAAGAAAGAAAATCCAATGATTGGCCAATTTTAGTTTAGTGTCATCGAAAGCTCAAAGTCAATGTCTTGTCATTTGTCATTATCATTCTCTCTGCAGAGCAAACAAATTGCCAGTGACAAATCGATTTCAAATAATAATGAATTTTTAGAAACTCAAGAAATGTTGACAGCTTTGCTTAATGAATTTTCCTTCTTACGTTGTTAAATGCCGGACTTTTGTGATTTTCACATAAATAAAATTTCAAATTCTTGAAGCATTGCCGGTGAAGCATGGGTGAATTTTTACTTCGAGTAATTTCCATTCGATTTCTAATTTTTTCTTGGAATCGATACCTTTAGAACCTAGGTAGATACTAGACTGACCGCAACAGAAAAGGTTTGTCTTTTTTGCTGATAAACGGGACAGAAAAAAAAGATTTTCTTAATAAGCCTTTCTTCTCGTAAAAGAAAACTAAAGCAAAGTTATAGTTTTTGCATGAACACCTAATCTATCTGAGCGGTGCTGAAAATTTTTCGGCCTGACCCATTTATTAAAAGCTACAGGACTTAAAACGATTTTTCTGAAAAGTATATATAGGGAAAGATTTTCTAACTTTCAATCAACAGCAGCATTAACTGCTCGGGCAATGAATGCTGACTATATAAGGAAACGGTTGAAATTCAAAATACTCATTTGGCAAAGTGAATCGGGCCGAGAACTTTTCAGCAATTCTTCATACGTCTCAATGCTTTGTGCCAAAAACGTAAAAAAATTATTATAATGAGCTATTCTTGCATAATAATTATTATCACTTAACAGTTCAAAGGTCAGCCATGTTTTCCCTCATTCAACATTCGGAAGAGAATTTCAGATTCTTCATCTTTATTTTTGACTAAATATCAAAGAAAGAAATATTAATTTAAAAGCCAGAGAAAAAAAAGTCATCCATCTGAGAGATCTTCTTTTACATTTTAGAAGTTTTAAATTACTACGAACGCCTCTTCGTACAACAATACCTCAGAGCATCGTATTTTCAAAATATAAATCTCATATTTTCAGTTACTTAATAGCCGTCAACATTTTCGATGAAGCATTTTCGATTAATTATTGATTACTACTTACAACTATTTCTCTTGCTTTTTATCGCCACTGCGATTGTAAAGTAAACAACGAGAGTTGCGTGTAAAATAAAATCCCCGATGAGATTTGATGAACAACCAGATTTCAAATCTCTAAATGCTTATTCTTAATTTCTAATACATGAGACATTTAATGATCGTAGAATAACGATCTTAGTGTAAAGATAAAGCAAAATGACAAAGACCTCGTCAAAAAGACATAAATATGATTATAGCGAGTTCGACCATCAAACAGTACCTCACTTTTGCAGCGATTTCGATCTTCAAACAATACCTCACTTTTGTGACTGTTCTTCAATATGGCAGTGAATGCTGGACAATCTACTTGAAGATGAAGTGACTTGAAGCAATAGAAATGTGGTTCTACAGAAGGACGCTGCGAATACCATGGGCCGAATATGTGAGCAAGGAAGACGTTTAAGAGAAAATGGAAACAAAAGGGGTACATAGTTAACATAAGGAGGAGAGAGTTGACATTTATAGGTCACATAATGAAGAAAAGAGGGTTTGGAAAATTTAATACTCACAAGGCAAAGTGAAGGCTAAAGGGATAGAGGAAAACAACGAATAAACTACTTGGTGAGCTTGGGTAAATGGATAGTGAAACAAGGTTTAGGTGAGATAACAATTACAAAAATGTATTAAGAGCTACAAAGGACAGGAAATTATAGCGAAAAATGACCACCAACGTCCTGAAGGGACACGGGACAAACATTTGCTAAAAGCACTGCGTCGATTCTCTAAGCCTGATCCTAAAATAATAGGTGTAAGTTCCCTCCAGTCGTTATCAGGTGTGTATCATCAGGTGATATACACCAGGTGAAGACCGAAGAGCACAACAACCGAAATAAATTGTGATAAAGTTGAGGACAATAGACATTTGAAAGATGAGCCTCTACAGAGAAAACCGTGGCTAGAGATACATTTGAATCATTTCAGAAGTTTAAAAATATTTTACAAAGTTTGGTGCAATGTTTATACACATTGTGGAATGCATATTTTAAATAGTGACTAAGAAAAATCCTTTTCCTTCAACATTTCTGACTGGCAAACAACACTGAACTCCTTCCAACCTTCTCTTTTCCTTTGATATTGTTAACGCCACCTGCCGTGACCTGATCTTCAAAACAGACAAGTAAGGTAGTGAATTTAGTGAACCTCTGTCTCTATTAACACACTTATTCACTTGGCATCTCTGACAAGCTGATTACAATAAGACTGTCTGCCCTCTTTTTCTGTGTTTTTTTACATGCGTATTTACGTGCATTTAAAAACTGCATGTATAAAGTTCGCTTGTCGGCAACTGGAAAACTTTCATAGGAAAAGAAATATTCACCAGATGTGTTGAAGGAATGTTGTTTAAAGGTAACAGATTTTACTAATATACGTTTCACGGGATTTTCAGAAATATTTACTTCTCTGTATTAATGCACTTGGGCCATACTCACAGGAAATAAATTAAAACTGGATACAGGAAATCATTCATTCCTTCATTATTAAAATACACTACATAATCTGGAAGTAAATGCTTATATAACGTCTATCCAGGACGTATCCAAATGCGAAAATCTCGATAAATAATGTAAATTTACTTACAATCACTCAGAGAGGACACGAATCCCTGGATTACTCAATCGACAATGAATTCGATTGTGTACTGAGTGACAGTGGATAGCTTCTTCATGTCTCGTGCAGTTTTTTTTTTACTTTTGTAAATCAGCACCACTCGTATACTCAAAAATTTTGCTCTCTACGTCTTCTAGATTTTTCCAAAGCTAAAATTGTCATTGAAACAAGGAGACTGCAACGATGCAGGTGATAGCAATCCCGAAAAACGGGAAAGCGGCGTTGAAATTAATGTGAAAATTGCATTATGATTACTTAGAGTTGGACTACACTTGAAAGCTTTTCTTGTAAACAAGACAATAAATTACACATTCCTGATTGTGCTTACACCAAGTTCTTACTAAATTAATCATATCAAAAATCAGAAAGAGTGTGCATTCTTCAACTTGCAACAATTGTGATCTGAAAATATTCCGACATTTCTCGTCATGTATATATAATACGAAGCATCGTTTTACACAAATATTGTCACTTACTTCCTATTACTTATCACTCTTACCTTTTATCCCATAATTCATCTTCATATTCATTCTTGCCTGTTTGTATACCAATCTCTCAAGAGAAAAATGAATGAAAACAATTCGAACGTTTCGGCAGTACAAGTCGACTGGTTGGTATCAAATGTCACTGACTTCCTGGGAATTATGTGAAATATACACGGGTCAAACAAGGTAGCATTTATATCTATATATATATATATATATATATATATATATATATATATATATATATATATATATATATACAAGTATATGATTGGTGTATACGGAACAAATTCCAATGACCAACAATTACTATTCTTAAAAGAGTGCTCAATAGAGCAGATATAATTGTTTATTTAAATATTATATATATATATATATTATATATATATATATATATATATATATATATATATATATATATATATATATATATATATATATATATATATATATATATATATATATATATATATATATATATATAAAAGAAAGAAAACGCAGCTGCTAAATGCAGTTAGCATCGCGAATACTGTAGTTCTATTTTCTTGTATAGTTTCGAAAAATGTTACTAATACCAAAAGAATTCTTGTTTTTAATTTATTTAATGGTTTCTTTAATCGGTTTGCATTCTTTTCTGTAATCATTAATTGTACAAAAGTTGTTTTCCTTTCATTCGATGCGACGTTGGCCAAATTTGCAATAACTTTAAAAATTTCCATTTTGTAAATGCCAAATAAAGACTTATAAAGAGTTATAAGGCGGCAATGATAGAATACATTGTTCTCTAAATCTTTTTCAGATATATATTGAACGTTTGGATAAACTAGATAAATAAAATACTTTCAAAAAGAAAAATATCTTTTCATTTAGGGTCATTTCCATTCGGAACGTAGATGATATGGGTTCTCCACGAATTTCATTTATCATCTATGAATTTCCATGATTCTTGGCAGAAATAGTTGTTTCCAGTTTTGAATTCAGATAGTTCTAGGCTAGAGAACCTTCTTATTTAGACCATTGTTGTAAGATTAAAGCAATGGAATTTGAGTGAAAGTGAACGCTATAGATGAAATTTTGAACTCGGCATTTCGATCGCACATTCCATGCAGAAGATAGGAAAAATTGTAACTGACGGAAGGTACACAAATCGATACCCGATCAGTATCGGCAGGGTCACCCTGGAGGGGGTGGGTGATGTTGAAAGACCCGAAACCTCTTATGAAACTCAACTAGAAACATCACTGACGATGTGTATTAAAGCATCTAATAGATGTATTTTACGAAATGGAACTCTGAAGAATTCATTGAGTTTTAGGAAAAGACTACATGACAACCAGAAAACAGTTTTGGTGACAACTGGAGAGACAGTTGACAGCATGGAAAGACAGCAGTTTGGGTAAGTTGGGTTAGCACCTCTACTTTCATCTTCTACTAGCAAGAAACCATTGCTGGCTACG